AGGAGTTCTATGGGATTCTTAAGGAAGTCCCTGGAGAGTTCTCGGGGATTTTCAAGAGAGTCCTTGGGGACTCCCTCTGGGTCTATTGATGCATCTTCTTAATTTCATGTAACTAATTAGTGATTAAGTGCCAGGTACTATCACTGGTACCGCTGGAGCACATATCATCCATCGAAGGTTGACATATTAATGTTGACTTACTAGAAGAAAATTTTATCATAGAACTACATTATTTTTATATATTGCCCATCTGCAAAACAAACGGTGAATGGGGAGTTGGCAGGGACTCCTCGGGGATTGCACAGGAGTTCTGTAGGAGTCCATGCATGACTTCCTCCAACAGGACTCCTGCAGGAATTTTTTTTGNTTTTTGAATTCCTCATGACTCCATGTTGGACTTTTCACTCTAGAAAGTTCCTGCGAGAGTCATCAGGACTCCTTACGATTCCTGCTGGAGTTTTTCATAAACTTGGGACTCCTGTTGGAGTTTTGCCGGAAGTCTCGACTAGGGAAGCGATCGACAGACAATTCTGCCCGTTAAAAGGCTAAAAAAAGATAACAGAAAGAGCGCTGGTTGGTAATCCTATGCTGGGTAATTTCGATAAAAATTTTTGAACGCAGCCGAAATTTCTGATCATCGCATTCACAAACTAATAATATCAGCTATCTTATTATCTAAAAATCTTCTCATAATACTCACTCAGGTAACGTATATCTCAAAGTGCATTACTGCGCACACCAACCGTATTAATTCAATGAGTCATCCTTCATAGGCCCCATACCATAACTTTGAACCAATGGAGTCGGTTAAAACTTTCTCATTTTTTTCTAGTGTAGACATGGTATAGCGAGTTTGAAAATATGCCGATCATATCTCGAGTTGATCGTCATGAACATTGGTAGTAATTATACACATGGAACTTTATAAGTGTTTAGCAACTGTTTGAAGATGAGACAGTGAAGAGAGATGAGATTATAACACGTAGTAGATTTCGTTAACATCACAGAAGCCAAAGTAGCGACAGCAATAATACGCAGAAATTATATTCCAATTACTTTTGTACTTGACAAGCTTTGGTTTATGCCCGTTATGCTAGAAAAAGAACAAACATTCACCGAGACGGATGCTAAGCGCTTGTCATTGGTTTATATATTTGTCCTTTCCAACCAGTGTCTCTTCTCTTTTCTCCCAGCGGCATAGCAATTACATATACATAAAATAAAATTTATTATTAGACCATACGTGCGTTCACACGCATATCTCACATCTCCTTTCAATTTGTTTCTTGTAAATATGACTGACTTTTTTACTTTCAAATAATTTTGCATACCATGCCACGGAAATTTTTAAAAGACGAAATTGAGATTAGATGTGCTTATAAAAACGGGACTTTAGTTACGTATTCTTTGTCCTTCTGCTGAAAATAAGTAAAGTATGTCGTGTAAATGCTCGTGAGAATTTTGCCCACTGGAACTGAATGTGCAGGCTTGTTAGCAGGCTCTGTCATAGTAATCTTTTTTTATAAGCTATTCAGTGCAGTACTTTATTATATCATCCTTACAATGTAAAGCACTGAGTACCTCAGTTTGCCTATAACATATCAGAAAAAAAAGAATACTGCAAATAGCTGCTGTTGAAATTTCATCCACTAATCGTTTTACCAAAACAATTGAAAAAGCTCATTTTTTTATAAGATTGCATATCGTAGTTTTGTTTATTACATATTTCGGATCTTTTTCCTTGAAAGAATATTTTATAGGTTAATAACCATTTTTTTCCACTTACGTTTTAGATGTCAGAAACGCATTCGCCTCAAAAAGGTGACATTCGGTACAATCACATAAAGAATAAACGCTATCGATGGGATTCAAAACAGTGGCAACAATTATGTACTAAACCCGATTGCATGAAATCTCCGGTACACGATGGATTTTGTACGTTTCATTATAGCGAAGAACAAGCAAGACTAAAGATTAAACTACCAATAGACGATGAAAAGAGTGAAACGACAAAAGTATCTCGTTCCTTAACAATAAGTGGTGAGAAAATAAATTTTCAGTTTTTTTCTCGCATTTTTTTCCGGAATAATTCAATGATTTAAAACTATATTTAGAATTGTTTCCAATACCAGTTCGAATTAATGAAGTGACAAAACGACGAGAAAAGTGGGATGGTACAAAGTGGCGTCGATTATGTGCGCATCCCGACTGTGAAAAAGCCTCTCGAAATTTATGTACAACACATCGACGTGAACAAAAACAACGGAAAGAAAATGGAGGTCAAACAAAACAAACGATAACTTACAAAGTTAAAGCAAGTAAGAAATATGGTATTTCTTTTTTTGAATGTATGAGTTCTATCATAGCATGAAAAAAGATCTGTTATTCTGCTGTAATCCATATATTTTTAGCACCACCGACAGCCGGCCATATAAAAAAAGTAGGAAAACGGCGGTATATGTTTGATGGAAGAGTATATCAATCATTATGTATGATAGATGGTTGCCTAAAGCGACAAAAATTAGGAAAATTATGTTTGAAACATAAAAAGGACAAAGCTTGTGGATTATTGATGGACGATAGTGACGAAGTAGAAGAAATCAAGAAGACAAAAACAAAACCCAAAACGGGTGATATTCTTATAACAAAGAAGAGTCGTTATATGTGGGATGGTAAAAAGTATATTATTTTATGCCGTATGACTGAATGTCCAAATCGTCCTCGATGTCAACGCCTGTGTGTTCCACATTTGGCCGAACAGGAAGATATGGCACTGACACAAAAGTACTATAAACAAATATCAGAACTAAATAATGAGTCTAGATCTATACCAGAAGTAGTGAAAAATGAGTCTAGTAACCTATCGATAATTGTCAAAAATGAACCGATCGAAGAAGTGAAAAAACGTCCATTAAGTACGTCTGACGAAGAATCTTCGACAGACCGACAGGATAAAAAACAATGCTCAACAACAAATATCAAAACTGAACATCTTCACATTAAAATAGAACCGCTGTAGGACAGAACGTCTTGAATACACTGCTTATTGCTGACTTTATAATTTTGTGTATCTTTTTCTATTAAATTTTAAAATTGTACCGGAGCGATTATCTGTTTAGATTTAGCTTGTCTTTATAAACTTGTTTTTCGACTGGTGAATGGTAATCAGTTTTTTTCTACTTGGTTCCATCTATTTGAAATGGGGACTTCTTTGTTTAGTTCTGGACTCCGTTGTACTCTTATGTTTGTTTGTTTTTGTTTATACTGGTTTCGTGACGTTTTATACCATTGGTGGTTAATATAAACCAGTGGTTTCGTAGGTTTTTTTAATCGAAACCTTGGTACTTGTACACAGTCGTCACACGCTATACTTTACAGTGTGCGTATAATACAAAACAGAAAAAAACCTGACTGGTTTATACTCACACGTAATCATAAATGCGAATAGAAGATATCAGAGAAAGCAGAACATAAGTAGAGGTCAAGACTTTAAGGATAAAAAACATTTATTTAGTATGAGATAACCAGACACTATCGAAAACACAATTCAATTTGCACAAACATTTCATCTTTTGGCGGCGAATCCAACAACAGCATGTCCAAATGGTCACAATGATTAGTATCTTGGTAAATATTTCCGAGCCATCGACAGTAAGTAACATAGAGTTTTATTTTCTGCACACTGAATTCCTTATATTTTTTAAGAGTATCAGTAGCGTTGCCATGAGAAAAATTACCAGATCCATTCGGGATGGTACATTTTTCTCAAATTCACAAGTGGACACCTAACAGCTCTTGGATTTAATGTATTACTGGTCACAAAGACTGGTAAGAGAAATTTAATTTAAACTTAGTTTATTAAAACAACAAATCGCGCTATGCTCATTACACGTTGTGACAATTTGATCAAAAGAGGAATATAGTTAAGGTGGTAAAAAGAGAAGAGAAAGAAAAAAAAAGCTGATAATATATTAGAGAAAGAACAATTATGGTATTTCTTTTGTTTTTATTTATTTTAATTCTAGGACGTACGACTGTACCATCCCGACGGTTGTGTCACTTCGGAAGCAAATCAACAATAGTCGACTGAGAGAATTTTCTACGTGATGTGGTCGAAATTGATGAAAGTTCTTGGACAAAAAGAAAGTTCAGCTTTGTTCGTGTTATCCAAAATCAATGGGTATTTGGCGGTATTGACAGAGACACTCGCGATTATATTCATCAAACAGTTAACCACTCATTACACTTCGTTGACCCAGTAACAGGTTACATACGCAAAATATAGAAAACATGTGAATGTGTGCTAAGCAAAGGAAGAAACGAATGATGGGCATGCATGTTTCTCTTGTGGAGATCTATCTTGTGGTCTTCCTCTACAAACCTACATATATCACGTTCTGTGGTCAAAACCATACAGTCATCTTTACTCGCTCAAATTCATGAACTTTATCCAGTATTAAAGTTGGAATGATTGCATTCCTCTTTTGATCAAATTGTCACAACGTGTAATGAGCATAGCGCGATTTGTTGTTTTAATACTGCACTGAGTTACTTCTTTGAATTTCACTTTTTTTATTGATGTTTTATCGCTTGTGTTTCTTTGATTATTTTATGTACAAAATGAATTGTGTTTTCGACAGTGTCTGGTTATTCTAGTAGTAGTATTTATCCGTGAAAAGTGGTTATTTCATACTAAAAAGATTTTATTTATTCTTAAAGTCTTGACCTCTATTTATGTTCTCCTTTCTCTGACATCTTCAATTCACATTTATGATTACGTGTGAGTATAAACCAATCAGGTTTTTTTCTGTTTTGAATTATATGCTATGCACATTGCAAAGTGTGACAATTGTGTACAGGTACCGAAACGTTTAAGCATTTGTAAACTTCAAAAGTTACATTAAGGACGTTTGAACTACTCGTCTGAAGTTCAACAGACAAAATACTTAAGATATTAATTATCTGTAAATATTTAATTTATGTTGTTATTAGAGCTTACCAGGATTATTGTTGAAAGACAAAAGTTAACTGTTATCTGGCTTATCGATAGTAAACGCTAATTCTCTTGATAATTTGTGAAAACGACACGAAATTCTTTAATGAAGTTTATTTTTCTTCAGATGTCACCATCAACCGTTCGTAACGGTGATATTCATGTCGACCAATTAACACATCGTCGCTATATTTGTGATGGACTCAAATGGTTCAGATTGTGCACAAGAGAAAATTGTCCTAAAGTTCCTCATAAAGATGGATATTGTGCTGTTCACTTTCGAGAAGAGGAAGAGAAAAAAAATAAAAATTCTATTTTATCAACAAGTCGACGTAGTCAACAACGGGCAACAACATCATTATCAGTGGAACCCAAAGAAGAGCAATTTGAAGAAACGCAATCGACATCTAATGAAAACTTGAGTAGAAAACCGCGTCAAAAAATAAAAATAGCTGGTAATATTCTCGTTTACTTCTTTCATGAAATAATAAACGATATTCAATTTTTTCTCTTTTAGATATATCAAGAGACCAATCAACATCGATTAACCAAAAACAAAAGACGATTCGTGGTAGTCGAAATTCATTAAAACAAGTTATTAAAGAAGAAAAACATACACCGATAAAAGAGAATGGCATACACAAAAATACTACTATTCGTGCGAAACTAAATGCAGCTAAACCAATTATCAGCGCTCTAACTCCACATGGTATGTGAATGAACTCTCTGTACTTCACTATGATGTGATCATTTGAATAAATTGTTATTCTTGATAATTGTTATTTGCTATCTGGTATAGTTCATCTTCTCTATTTTTTATTTAGCTGTGTCTTATGAAACGCCTGAATACGGTGATATTAAAACGACTGATAAAAATCGTTATATTTGGGATGGTAAAAAATGGCAAGCTCTATGCTCGAAAGATGAGTGTCGTCGGCGTCAGAAATCTCAGCGTCTGTGTCTTACACATTTCAATGAAGAACAAGTACGAAGCAAACATGGTGTAGTTGAAAATCAAAAAAATTCAGTGTTAGCATTTGTCGTCAAAAATGAACCAGTAGAACAAAGAATAAGTTTACGACGGAAAAATGGAAGTAATGATGCAAAACAAGATCTTCAAGAAGATTTTGGTAAAAATCAACAGAATAATAGAAAACGACAACGTTTATCCAACGAAAATACAACATTATTAAAAGGTATGTGATGAAGTATAGTCATTTTATAATTTCATATGATCCTTAAACCGTTTGGCATTACAGCCTATTTTTAAAATGATTTACTGTTTTGAATTATTCGTAATGCATTTTTATGTAGTATAAATTGTTCCATTTTCGTTGAAAAACTATTGTGTTTTTTTATTGTTATAGATGTGCTTTCAGCGCCCAAACCGAAAGTTGGTGATGAGCGGCTAAATAGTAAACATCATCGGCAAGTGTTTGATGGTACTAAATGGCAATCGTTGTGTATTTTCGAGGGTGGATGCTCTAAAAGACAACAAAGCGCTCATTTGTGTTGTACACATTTTAAACAACAGCACCACCGGCAACAGTATCAAGAAGAAGACGAGGAAATAATTCAAAAAGAAAATCATCTAACACGAAAAGAAAAAAAAAATTTCGGGCGTCGAACAAGAAAAAATGAAAGTAATGGTTCAGAAGAATTAAATATGGCTATTTTTGGTATGTAGAGCCAGTTGATATTCTATTTGTTTACTTCTTTTCTTTTGGTTACTCGAGCGTATCAAGAAAATCTTCATTAAATAAATATTGCTCTTTTTTTATTACCACTTCAGAGTGTTTACAATCAGTATCGAAAATCGACGAAATGATAACTAATCCTAAAACTGAACCAATTCTAGACGAATACGACGATAAACACGAAATAAATGAAGGTAACAGTACACAAATAACTCTAACGAATGATAATAAAAGTATTCAATGGTGTCAGTCTGAAGTGAACGCTGTAGATCATAGAGTCCAGATAAATTTTTGCGACATTTCCCTATAATAAATTAGTCAGTTACAAATAGAATATCAATTCGAATACCTAGCTCTCTGTAAGAGTACCTGTTGTCTTTTTTGTTGTCTTTTCAAGGAATAGAAACTGCGGTTTCTAGAAAATCTTTAGAAAAACATGTTAGAAAATTCTGGGCAATATTACATTAATGTTCTATATATTCGATCGAGTAAAAATTGGACTCGACCGAACCTATGCTCCCATATTTGTCGACAGGGTGATAAAATATTGAAAAAATCTTTGGATTGATAAAGAGTCGTAATTAGTTTGTCTTTTTAGTTTGCTATATTAATTTATTTAGAATCATTTTCGAAACGACCAAAAGTTGGTGATATGCGTATGAATCCAGTAACTAACCAGCGTTCAATATTTGACGGTTATTATTGGAAATATTTGTGTATGAAAGATAATTGTTCAAAACGGATATATTCAAGAAAACTTTGTTATGAACATCTTTATAAACAACAAATGCATAATCTTGAACCAAAAGAAACTCATAATCATTCAAAAGAATTAAATGATGCTGATCAAAAGGCAGCTGTAAATGGTATGTATTTTGTAAAAATTTAAACTATTTATTAAGATATTGATCAAACTATCAAATTTAATTTTATATAAATTTGACTTTTATTATATGCAGACTCATTCAGTTAATTAATTATATATTTAAAAAGTTTCATTATATAATTGCTTCTGAATTTCTTGACTAGGTTGTATGGGATGTATATTGTCGAAAATAGAATTATCTTCTAATGAACAACGTAGAAATTATAAACGTAATCGAGATGAAAATTATGATTTTTCATTGATGTTACCTGAAACAAAACGTCGAAAAAATCAAAATGAAATACAACAATTTTCATCAAGATTAATAAAAACGATGAATGAAGACACAAATATTGTAAGTCGCGCTAATTTGTTATGAAGACGGCAAAAAAAAAAATCCTTTAAAAACTATGAATCAATTGTATTGTTTCTTTTTCTTTTTAGATTTTAACTCCAAATGCGTCACAAAAACGCAATCTAACAGTGATGAAAAATGATGAACGAAAATTTGTTATTTCTGGAACACGTTTGACAAAACGACAAAAAGTAGATACAATAAAAAATTGAAAACTAATTATACTATGGTTTTTGTTTCTCTTAGGTACAACTTCAACAATTTTTTCAAACATTACGTGGTCATTATTCTATTCAAATTTCATCGGTTGTTGATTTAACAACAACACATTTAATAACAAATTCAACATCCAAACTTGTTTGTTCATTAACAAAAAAACTATTTCAAGCGGTTGTACAACATATTTTTGTCGTTTCTTATCATTGGATTGATGAATGTTTAAAACAGCAACGAATAATTGATGAACGACCATACGAAATTCAAGGTGATAAACAAAATTCAGTAACACATCTTGGTATGAGAAAGTCACGTTTATCAAAACGTCCTTTATTTGAAAATTGTAAAATTTTGTTTTGGGTTGAATGTGATTTTGTACAAAAATTATTTACAAAAGAAGAACTAATAGAAATGATTATAATAGCTGGTGGTAGAACCGTATTAAATGGTAAGTAAAATATTCTATTTTCAATGAATTTTTCAGTTAGAGTATTTCTAAAAATAATTAGAATTTATTCTGTTATATCGTGTTTTTTAATACAAAAGACAGAGATAAACTCTTGTTTGTCTTGTTTATTATTGTCATGTATAATTTTTTTTAGCATCAGATTTGACTGTTGATAATGAAGTGTATGTTCTGTGTGAGAAAGAGAATATAGTTCAATTGAAAGAAAAATATGGTACTTCGACTAATATCCACTATGTTATACCGGAATGGTTTTTGGATTCAATTGTTACATATAAAATATTACCTCATAAACTATATTCATGGAAATGTTAGACTAGTCAGATATACTGTCCCTCTCACTGTGATATGTCAGATCTTTCTTTTTTTTCTTTTGTGATAAACTTTGTGTGAAATTTCTTTGTAATCATACTCTATTTTTTTGTTTTTGTTTGGCTGATAACAGATATTATTTTTTTGTGTATATATAGTGTTCCTTTTTTGCTGCTCAGATTTGATGGTCTTTTTTTTCATTTTTTCTGTCTCAGGTATATTATGGAGATTTTTGTTCTCTTATTTTCTTTTAACCAAGTAAAACGAAATGTATTTTGTTGAAAAAGAAAAAAGTCTTAAAACATGTCATAGTACAGATATAGAGAAATATTCAGACGATATTTAACTTTTATAAAAATAACGCAGAAACGATACTATTCACTATAGGAACAGCCATTGATTAACAGATTAACAGATTCCTACACTATGTACAATACGTTATATGTACCTAACACTCTTTTTCTTTGTACGATGTTTAGATGACGAGCAATTTAGAAATCTTGATAATAATAACAGAAATTTAGATTTGTCGTATGATGGACTATCCAATATGCAAATCGAATTACTTTCGTTATAATATTTAAACATACAAAATGATCAACTGATTTAACAACATCTCGAATTCATTCACTCGCTAACCATTACCAGAGAATTAATTTTAGATTTTGATTTAATTCACACGTGAAATGAAGAAAACATTCTCTGCAATGAAATGTTTCAACAGTTAGAATGGCTACGTTGTTATAAGGAAATGATCATCGTTTTAATAAGCAAGACCAAACGGCAACAGTTAATATTTTCTCTAATTTGAAACGGTTACAGCGACTAAATTTATCTCAAAATATAATCAAAACAATACTGACAGATAAAAACTTCGAGTATTATGAACTCTTTCAAAGTTCGCGTCTGCTTTTATTCTAAGATCTATTCAATTTCACATGAATATTGCTAATCAGTTAGCCACATTATCATCCGCCATTTTTCCTGATCTCGAATCGTCATTAATCAATATCAATATTCAAGCATGCGGTTTACGTTGAAATAGTTCAATGTTACTTACGTTCTCGTTTAACTATACTAGGAGAATGAGAGCTAAACCGCTGTGTTAGCGATCTATGTTATGATTTATCAAAAATCGTTCATGCGATAATGTAAAACAGTACAATAAAAAGTAGAAAAAATATCTCTGAATTGCCGCTTTTGTGTAAGTTACATCTAATCGTATCCAATTAACTATTAGTCTTTTTCGACGAATAATGTGTTCTACGTTTCAACTGAAATATTTTTCTCCCATGAAAAACCAAATGTTAAAAAATGTGTAATACAGTCTCACTCTAGGTGTCGTCAACGAAACGAAACGTAAGCATTTTTTTTATACAAAATCTTATTAAATCTTAGGAATACTGATTGACCTTAATTTTTTGTTGCTGATGTTTCTTATCATTGATAAAGAAGGAACGATGATAAATAACTATAAATTAATTAATAGACGATTTACTCAAATAGAGTATAAAAATCAGCCGACATATACATTTGAGATAAAGTCGTTGATGATGTAAATATAACTAATTAGGCATTCTCCAATAACTAATGATGTTTTCCTCATCATTTTTTAATCTTAACCGCAATCCAAATGAGATTAGACTTTTATAAATTCTTGACAAATTTATGAGTGTTAAAATCCACTGTGATGATCTTAAAATATAGAAATATTATTGATATTCATCATCAATTGATCGTTATTATCTTTCTTCAATATTATCTTTCGAACATGTTCCTTTTCTTTCATGAAAATTTTTTGTCACTTTGCATTTAACTTTTGACTTCTGGATATTCTACTGGTACAAAACGTAATTGATCTTTTTTGATGATAATTTTTGTTGAAGATATTTTGTTGATGATATTTTTATTGATGTTGTAGCCGTTCCTACGTCGAAAAAGCCGAGCTAGAAAATATATTTTACATTATCATTGTTACTTCCAGTGTCGTGGCGAGAGAAAAGAGTAGGTGTAAATTTTTTTTCGAAAAAAGGCACAGAAGTAAGAAAACACAATTTTTTCAACTGATACTGGATAGTGTGGGCTTGGCAAATGTTGATATGCATTATTAAGCAGAACATAAAACCAGTGAAAATACTTTTTTTAATATGGAAAAGGAAATGAGTTCTATCATCACAAACAATTTCTTTTCAACATCGTGAAAAAAAAGACGATAGGCTATGTTACTTATTGAATATCTTCTCTATGAAATATTGCTTGAAATATGAAATTGATGTAATACAATGCTTGAACCCACCATTTGAAATTTTTTCATAACTTTTACCAAGAATCCACGCCTGTATATGTATCGAAATATAAGAACTCATAGTAATTACAATACTAAGATAACATGTGTAGTACATTTGATAAATATTTTGTTTTTCAAGAAGATGAACAAAGCTCTTTCAACAACTATTTTTGAACAAGATTAATCAGGAAAAAATGGAAGACTGAAAGATGACAAATCATACCAATAACGGAATAAACATTACTTGAATTTCAACAATTTCATATAAACAAACATTGTACCTAAAATATCAATAATAAGAGCAAAATTCACACCTAGAAAACATTTTTTTAATGTAAATAAATAAATAAATAACACAAAAAAAAATTATATTTGTTCAAAATCTTTTAGCCATTCAAATGAATCGGTGCTTTGTGCTTAAAAAGAAATGAATTAATCAGTTATTTTTAAGATTTCTCATTGAATGAACAACTTACATATATATTCTAATCCAATATAATCATGATAAAAAGTGGCTATTTTTTGTAAAAAATATTTATGATTGACTTCTCCATTATTCATTGGACAATCTCGAAGCGGCGTTTGGGATATTTGGACATGACCAACAAAGGGAGCAAGTAGCTAAAAAGAAAATACTTTGAATTAAATTAACTGACTATTAACCATTGTAACGTAAATTTCAATTTGAATTTGACCGATAAAATAGATGAATGTCATTAAAGAGAAAATTGTGATATATTGTGGTAGATCGGAAAACTACATTTGTAGATATGTAGAACTTTTAAGAATTAGAATCTGCACTAGCACAAAGAAGATATTGCTGAGTTTTGAAATATCAACCTATACTAACTTTGAATTTCTTTATTTATACCTGAGAACATGATACACATATTTGAACGTGAGCTCGGTTATTTATCTAAAGTTTAACTAATGACAGAAAAATGAAACATACATTCAATAATGTTAACCGTTCTCTAGAAAACTAGATCTTCTGATCCAAACCACTGTTAAGCGAAAGTCGATCTTGATCTTGTCCGTTAGTAGAGAATATTGAATTATTTATGTAAGAAGACTTTCAGGACTGTCGCTTTTTTAAAATTTTCGCTACTAGTATAAATCGAATAAGCGTGAACTTTCCTAAAAAACGTACAGAACGTTCGTAACACCTTGAATATGGATGTATTTAGACTAACTCCAGAAGATCGTCAAGGTCAATGTCTCTTCTGAGAACGGTGTTTATTTATCTTCCTTACTCGCTTATTTTTTCGCAAATTCTTCGTTTTTTCAACAACTTTTGCATATCAACTGTATCTGAATTTGAATGTCTATAACTCTGTCAAAACTCATTCGATGGTTGTGAAAATCTACTTACACAGGTAACTCAATGTTCTCTACAAGCTGGCAAGATCAAAATCGACTTTTGTCCAAAAACATTTTTGATCTGACTGCCTGATTTTCTAGAAACCGACTTCAAAGGCCTACGGAGAACCTACTATAATATTTGGTATTAGCACCCTTGATTACATATGTCTACATGTTTTCTATGCAAAAAGCGGGGACACACTGGATGATTGCCCATCGTAAGTCTAATAGAAAAACGGAGGGATGTATTTGCGAAATCCTTATGCACCTCAAATGGCAAAATCGCATTACGTTAAGTCATACTTCAAACAGTTCTAAGTTATGCTTTTCTATGAACTGATTTTATGTACACGCGCCTCGTAGACTAAACAATATTTAACAACAAGAAAATGACTCCCTTGCTGAGTTAGTCGTGGTTACACTATTCTCTTACTTCAATGTTTTCTGTTAAATTTCCATGCAATCTTTGTAAATGAAATGAGTCTAACATAACTTTTAGATTCGATTGTTTGGCTTCTCGAACAATATCTGCCGCTAAATAATATGATCTTAAATAATAGTCTGAACGAGTTGAAAGTGGTTCGATGAGACACATAATATTGTGTGGAGCAAAGTATTGTGCAGCTAATTTCAATAAATTTACCACAGATGGTCTAAACAATAGATATTATTCATAAGTACTTTGAAAGATTTATCTTAAATTTCTTACATTTGTGAGGAATTACTAACGTCATTCATCACAAGATGAACTTTTGATATCTTCAATTCTTTAGCATAGTCCAATGTTTTATCGAGGATATGTTGTCTGTACTGATCAAATGTAGATATTGTTTGAGGTTGATCAAAAAGTGGTGGACTATTGATTAATACCCATTTCGGTCTCTTTTCTTCATTAAACACTTTTTTCCATTGATCAATGGTAAATTCATAGGGATTTTGACATTCAACGGCATCAAATCGATAATCTTTCCTTAAAAAAAAACACACTCAATAATAATACATAAATACACAAATTGGTTTTGAATGTGCACCTGGTAATAATATGCTGGTATCGTTCAGTAGACTTTGGTATATCACTTAACAGTGTTGACAAGTTTGCAGCAAAACGCATGTCAACAATTAGACTAAAAACAAGTCAGCAAAGAAGATAGGATAAAGGCATGTCCTTGAAAATATGTCCTTCTTCGAATCACGCAGGCTTTATTTCACTTTTCCTACGTTTTATTGGCTAAAAAAACGTCCTATTTTGTCCCACTTTCGGGACTTTATCATACACTTTGTATTTTTTTAAATAATTTTTCGTTTTTTAAGTAAATTTTACGTATAGAGATGTGATTGTTCTTGTTGTTTTTTCTTGCAAAGTTTTCGGTTTATGAGTAACAGTATGATCTATCACTCACATTTGTTTGTTACTAGGATATTTTAAACTTTCCATATCATCGCTCTCAAAAAGCAAAATTATATGATCTACTGAGAATGTACTTTTTATAAACAAAAAGATCCAGAATTTAGTTCCCATGTTCTTCTATACAATACTCTTAAAAAGTGTTAAAACATCAGTTTTCAAAACTTCTCCACCTACTCATGTCACGTCTAATCAAGTACCATAAAGCGCAAGAGAAGTGTTATGATTAAAACAAAAAACATAAACAAAGTCTTTAGAAAGTTCTGCATGCCAGCTTGGCTTTTCTACTTCATGTTTTCACCTTTCGACTATGAAGGAAAAATACTATTATCCGTTCATAAAATGAATGATTCCCAGCATTTTTTGAATAATTTTTTAACGGAAAGAGCTAGAACCATGCGGTTTTCAGCATTCGACAGGGAAGATGATGGGACGTGAAACTGTGGAAAAGTCAGGTCTACCATCTTGCTGTACTAAGTCCGAAAGCTGTCCATTTCCAGGTAAAAAATCGATTTTTAATTTTGAAATGTTGATTCTATCCTTTGAAGTGTGTTATATTACATTGCTATGTCAGGTAAAATAAGACCATTTGTGCATGTTTTCACGTTAAATTAGAAAATTCATAACTCACGCAAAATCGATGCAAACTATGTCAGAATACCAAGGTATACTCTATTTTATCTGCTCAATATTATTCTGTAGTTAAAATTAGTAAAAATATTCTTTGCCCACTAAAGACTTCTAAAAAACCTTCTCAAAAACCAAAGTAGTTTCTATATTGGTTTTCAAAATCTACGTGGAATTGCATGATATAGTGTAGATAGAATAGAGTATACCTTGGTATTCTGACATAGTTTGGATCAATTTTGAGCGAGTTATAAATGTTCTAATTTTACGTGAAAACAGGCATAAATGGGCTTATTTTACCCAATATAGATTTTCACGAGGTTCTTGAATTTTTTGGGACAAACCAGTATTGCCACGAGAGCTAGGAGGAGCGATAATCTATGTTTTATGTGTTTCGGGAGCTTCCAAACATGAAGTTTAGTCGATAGGTAGACCTTCAGAAAATGCCTGTAACTCGCAAAGCAAAAACGATAGAGAGACGGGACTTGTGCAGTTTTAAAGAGCGCACTTCAGAGAACAGAATCAACATTTCAAAATTAAAAATCCGTCTTTTACCTGGCAACGAACAGCTTTCGCACTTAGTACAGTAAGATTTACCAGTGTAGACCTGATCCGGAGATCTGCTTTTTCCACAGTTTCACTTCCCATCATTTTCTCTATCGAATACTGAAAAATCACATAGCTCAAGATTCAAGTAGTATAATGCAAAAAACACTTTTAGGTACTGTTCCACGTCCTACTGATCGATAGAAAATCTATCAAAATGGTCTTTAAAATTCTGCTGTTTTTCGTACTTTTTGTATTTTTTTCTATGATGATTTCTGACCACTCGAAAGCCAATTATTTGTCTATACGTATTGTCACGATAAATGATTAACTACTATCCATCCAAAAATACAAGACCCGTGGGCATTTTTTGAATAACTTTTGATAGGAATGAGATAGAGACCTGCGATTTTCGCTGTTCAATAGCCAAGACTTGAGCAGAACTTTTCACAAGCGGAAGCAACTTTTGAAAAAATTCCAGAGATCGGGTTTTC